CTGAGGAAGTAGAGTCTCTGATGAGCTTTCTTGATCAGGCTGGTGGTGTTGTTGCTCCAGCTGAGGTTGTTGTTCAGGTGCACACCCAAGTACTTGTAGCTGGAGACCACCCCCACGTGTTTGTTCCTTCTGAAGTCCACGACCATCTCCTTCATCGTCTTCACATTGATGTGAAGGTTGTTCTTCTTGCACCAGCTCTCCAGGTGTTCCACCTCTTGCTTGTAACTGGACTCATCATTGTTTGTGATGCATCCCACCACCGCTGTATCATCTGCAAACTTTACAATGTGACAGCCTGGATGAGTACATGCGCTTTTGAATTAATCACTGCAGTCAAGCGATTTAACTCTCTGAGACTTCTACTCCTGTCCACAGGTATTTAGATGGAAACTGCTCCAGTTGTCTCATGTTTGAAGAGTTCCTTCTCCAGACTGCAGGCTTCAGCTCCTTCCACAGATGTTCAGCAGGATTTCGATCAGGGATCAGAATAGTCCAGATGATCACAGTGGTTGAGATGGTGTAGTTTGGCTCTGATCCGTTCCTGGTGTTTTTAGCTGAGTGTTTGAAGTCATCATTATCCTGTTGCAGGACCCATGAGCTGCGACTGACACCAGGCAGCTCAGGTTGCTCCAGAATGCCTTGATTGTCTTGAGACTTCAGAGTCCCCGTGTCAGATGCAGCTTTAACTTGATGTCCTGAGACAACTCTGTCCTCAGCTGCTCAGCGTGTTACCCACCATGATACCAAACAGCTCAGTGACTACTTCTCAGCCTTTGAATAGGCAGACTGACTGGTTACAGATTGAAGACACCTGAGGTGCTGATTACAGGACAAACCTTATTGTCAAGGCCAGTTTCATTAGTTACTTTTATTTCTTAATTTGTTAACAACTTGTTGAACTAAAAGTCCAAATGAGACACACTTTTTTAGCTGTTTTTCAGGTTTTATTTTTATTTATATTTTTATCACATTTGTCAGTTTAAATTTTCAGTGACCTTCTTATCTTGAGCTGCTCAGGGGTCTGATGCTACCTGGGCTTGAATCTGCAGCCACAGGATTGTGAGACTGCAACAGTAACCACTGGACTACCGCGCCTCGTAGTTGTCTCAGTGATCGTTTTGGCTTTTCTTTAACAGCAGTGCTCAAACAATTGTTTTCTGATTTGTGTTGGAGGGGAAAGTAGGAAAGATAAACCCCGGTACTGATGGGCATACTGTGCTACAAAGTATAAATATAGTATAGTATACAGTAGTATAAATATAAATATGTGCTGTATGTAATCTAATGCCCCCATTCACTTGTGCACTCTCTCTACTTGATATAGAAAACTCTAAATGAGATTTTGTTTTTTAATTTAACATATTAAGCTAACAGAAGAAAATAGTGTTGTAAAAATACTGTTGATATTTTCTGCAGATCGGTGAGAAGAGTTTGTTCACCAAAGAGTTGGAGAACGCCCTGGAGAGGAACGAGTGAGTGTGACTCGGGTCGTCGGCACCACATCAGTTTTACCAAACGCCTAACCACAGTGCAGACATAAATGTTTGTGTCTAACTAATATTTGAGTTCTTTAATTAAGAAAGTGGATCAGAGGTTTTTGTCAAGTGACGATGTCTCAATATAAAGCCTAAGAAAGAGTTGAGGAGAACGACCAGCATGTGTTCATCTAAAATTCTTCAGCCTCAGGTGTAGCAGGAGGTTCTGCTCTGCAGCTGAAAGCCTTCATTAGAACCAGGAGCTCACGTTGTCTTCCTGTGTGACCCTCAGGGTTGATCTGGTTGTTCACTCACTGAAAGACCTTCCCACCACTTTGCCTCCAGGATTCACCATCGGTGCTGTGCTGAAGTGAGTACCCCCCCCCCCCCCCCACACACACACCCACACACACGGTCCATTCATGTCTGTACTGAACGAAGAGCCAGTATGTGTCAGGTCGCACCTACAGCCAGCATCTCTCAGGGCTTCCACTGTTGATAACAAATTGTGTAGAACGTTCACAAAACTCAATTCATTCCATTTTCCATTTTATTGATAAAACTCTTAAACTCCTAAATGGAACAAGGTACAGTGCACTGCAATAAAACAAATCTACTCAATAAAACTAGAAATAAATATATGTATATACATACAGTTGGTCCAGCCCTTAACGTGTGTGCGCGTTGTTCCAGGAGAGAGAACCCTTACGATGCCGTGGTGCTACATCCAAACAATGCAGGGAAGACTCTGGAAACTCTGCCAGCTAAAAGGTAGGGTTTACTCACGAAGCTGTTTGTTAGTGACGTCTGAGAGATCTGACTTCATGGTGTCTGTCTGCAGTATGATTGGCACCAGTTCATTACGCCGCGCTGCTCAGCTGAAGAAAAGATTCCCCCACCTGGAGTTCAAAGACATCGTATCCTTTCCTACTGTCTTGTTCCTGTGTTTTCATCCTGGACCTCCTTTATTGAGGCAGAAGATGACGGACGTCGGTCATTCCTAAATCATCACGTCTGCATTTGTTCACTTCAAGTATTATTATTTATTTTATTGGACCTTTATCGATACTGGGAGTTTCTCTGAGTCTCGAGGACTTCTTTTCGAGACAGACCTGTTTTTGGGAGCAGATGGTGGGGTCAAGGGCCCAGAGTGGGGCAAATGAGGGTGGAGGCAGGTGTGGGTGTTTCACCTATCCCACCCACATTTTGATGTTGTCAGTCTGGGGAGTTGAACCGGTGACCTTCCAATCACAGGCCCACCTATAACCTTTGCGCCACCACTCCCTAGTGAATTAGATTTTTCTGACGAATCACGTTTGTGTTCACAGAAATTTTAAAACACCTTAAATCACTTCTTCCAGCATTTCTGTTATAAATGTTATGTCCTGCTGCCAGTAGTAATTACCTGTGTGTGCATGTGCTTATTTGTTAGCATAATATCTGATACACTGAACAGGTGTTATTGAATCTTTCTGAAAGTTAATTGGATGTGCATGTCCTGAGATGTTTGTTGAACACTGGTGTTCAAGGCTGCAGTCAGTCTGCATGCCTTTAAGATACGTTTGTCCTTTTTATGTTTTCAGTTGAAGAAATAGTTTGGCTGCTCGTGAATAAAATGGATTACAGGAAGTTAAAGTGCAGTTTTTAGTCAATAATATCACCACAAATCTACAATTTTTGCTAAATGGCATTTTTGTTTAGCTTAAAGTAGTTCTATAGTAAGTGTGTTGGTTCGTGTTCAAACTTTGATGTAAAATCACCTTTTTAATGATTTCCCCCATTTAGAGTCGACTCGTTGACAAAATATCTTGTGAACCGCTGAACAGTTTAAAATGAATCTCTCCAGAAGAAATCCTCTGATGTATTTCTGTAACTAAATAACTTTTGGAGACAATCTAAATCAAGATGGCTGACACAACATTAACTATCATAAAATTAACTATCAGCAAATTTGACAGTTATTGAGATCAGATCAGATGTAGTTGTAGCTGAGAATCATTCCCAACACTGCTCTGAGCGTCACCTTTTCTTCAGTCACACAAAGGTTAAATCAGGTCATCTGGAAAAGTTTCTTTTTGGGAGAAATGTTTCGTCTGTCATCTGAAAGACTTCATCAGTCTGAGGCCTGCCAACAAGATCTGTCCCATAAATAGCACCTTATTGATGGGTTTCAAACCAGTCTGCTGTGGAGTTCACAGAAACTGGCTTTACACATGCAAGAAGGGGCCATCAGTCTAAACAATCAGTCATCATGTACAACAATCAAATGTTTTATGTCTCATGGCCAACTTGCTACTCACAGAAAAAGCCTGAGGACACCAAGGCCAAAATGGCTCAAGAAAGGTGTGTAAGCTCCATCATCCAGGAAGATGAATCACAAAAATGTTTAAATTATGTCATCTGGACAGTTTATGTTTGGGAGAAACATAACTCCAACACGGGGTGTCCTCAGATGGTTTCTGTGAGTAACAAGTTGGCTGTAAGGCCTAAAACATTTGATTGTTGTACATGATGATGATGGATTGTTTTGGACGGATGGTCCTTTCTTGTAGAGTTGTATTCGGGCCCAAAAAAAATCCAGCCCCAGCCCATAGTCATCATTTCCGAACTCCACCTGACCCAACAAATCAACAGTAATTACAGGTCCCCCCCTCGACATTTTTAATTAAACTTTGACTGCTTATATAGTTATTAACGGTCGGCGGATGTGTGCAGCTGAATAAAGGGGGCAGGAGATCGTAGCTGAGGGGGTGCTTGTCCTTTCATGGCCGTCAAAGCACATTAAAGCCCTGCTTCTGCTGCATTCTGCATTATTCAGACACAGACCCTGCTCTGACATGTCTGATATTTTGTGATCTCACCTGTTTGGGTCGTCGGCCGTGCGCATCCACTGAATGCAGCGGCTGGATGAACGTCCATTTATGCTTTGATGGATCGCTGCCTGGCAGTACAGTCCATCTGAAGCTTAACTGAACTTTTTACCTCTTTCAAGGCCGGTCAGCTCGCAGTCAAATGGCCGTGTGCGACTGGTGAATGTACGGCATGCCATGTTGCCATATAATTGGATTGCGGTTGATCTGCTGACGCAATCAAAAGCCCGACACCGACCCAGCCCACCCATCCAGCACTTTATTATGGCCCGGCCCAAATTTGGGTCGGGCCAGGCTTCAGGCCGTGTTAAGCCCCCAGTATACTGCCGCGTACATCCATACGCAGAGCTATGCAAGTATGTACGCAGAGGTACGTGCGTACCCCCCAGCGTACCCTCCGTGCAAAGCTCAAATTTTTACGACCGCATACGTGTACGTGGTGTCGCACAATAAACTGCCCAGCGACGGACTGTTTTGTATGCGACACCAATGTATTAAATTCCCCTTCTTCATCCCTGATCTGGCCTTTTCTTTTGTTTTTTTGCCAAGAGGCAGTGATCTCTTCCTCCTCCGTTGATGCCATGACTGAAATGGTGAGAAATGGAGGAATTTGTCACGAGCGAGTTAAACTCAGGTCCAGCGTGGCTGCGGGAGGGTCTGGAGATTTCCTGGTGGGCTGGTCTGATGTGTGGGCTGTAGAGCCAGCGCTCCGTTTTTTTTAAAAGATATTTTTATTAACAACATATAAACACAGAACACCGCTGAGGCTGAGGCTGCCAGCGCTTGTTTTTTTTTCTTTTTTCCTGACCTGTCAATCAATCCAGTAGGCGTGTCAGCAAACGACCAATCGGCGACCTCAATTTGTCCCGAAGGTAAATGCCCCTTGTCTGTGAAGCTGCTCTGCAGCTGCTCTGGGTGTACGCTTGAGTATCATGTCTGAACCGTCTGCATACAGTACACGCATACGTACGCGTGAACGTACGTTTGCGGCAGTATACTGGAGCCTTTAGTAATGGCAGCTCTACCTTTTTGCATGTGTGAAGTCAGTTTCTGTGAACTCCAAAGCAGGATGGTTTGAAACGCATCCAGGAGGTACTATTTATAAGACTCATCTCGGTTGGCAGGCCTCAGACTGATCAAGTCTTTCTGATGAAAGACGAAACATTTCTCCCCAAAAGAAACTTGTCCAGGTGACCTGATTTAACCTTTTTGTGATTCATCTACCTGGATGATTGAGTCTACAAACCTGTTTTCTTCAGTCATTTCTCATCAGTAGCTCATCTCAGTATAAAACTCTGGCATGAAAGGCGCTGGGTGAAATGCAGTTCTTCCAGTTTTCTTGTGTGCAGTTTTTATTTTTAGGCGTTTTTCTTAACTGCGGTCTTCAGCGTGGAAACCTGAACACACGTCTGAAAAAGCTGGATGAAAAGCAGGACTTTGCTGCCATCATCCTGGCTGCAGCCGGACTGAAAAGGATGGGCTGGGAGAACCGAGTCAGCATGGTACCAGCATGGTTGTGTCAAATCCTCTTAGTGACGTGTGCAGCTTTTTACTCTCTAACAGACTCTGGTCTTTCCATGGACAGATCCTGGAGCCTGAAGACTGCATGTATGCTGTCGGACAGGTAGGACCACTGTGGAGTGAAGATCACTTAACTGCTGACTGTTGCATTCATGACATGCTTGTTGTGTTTGTGACGAGTGTGGGAAAATAAAGTGTGTGCGTGTGTTCTCAGGGGGCTTTAGCGGTGGAGGTGCGGGCCAGCGATGCAGATATCCTGGAGATGGTGTCTGTCCTCCATGACCCCGACACTGTGCTGCGCTGCATTGCTGAGAGAGCCTTCCTCAAACAACTGGTGCATACATCTGCCTTCGTCTGTCTCATTGTCACGTTGTAACCAAAACTATGTTAACTCAGTGGAGATGTGTTTGCAGGAGGGTGGCTGCAGTGTCCCGGTGGCCGTGCACACGCAGGTGAAAGACTCGCATGTAAGAACTCTCACCACAGGTTGTTTAGTCACTGCTGCTGCCATCAGACAGTTTGTCTTGCACGCAGGGCTGTGAAGAGGCGTCACAGAGTTCTGTTTTATTTTTGCCACACATTTCAAATCCTCAGTTGTGAAGATCAGTAAATACAAAATGTAGTTTTTCAATGATGGTTCCATTTATTCAGCAGTTTCCCCTGGTTCACTTGCCTTTGCAAGGTACTCATATCTTCTGTGATTTTTGACGGGGGGTGGTGGTGTTGCACACTGTTTGTACCAACAGTTTTTTGGGGGGGTGGGGGGGCAGCTCAGCGTGTGGGAAACTGAGTGCTACCTCTGTAGCTGTTTAGCTAGCGTGTCTGTATTGCGCACTGCTAGCTTAGTGCTACGTCAGTGCCAGCAGTTTGAGTGGAGGTAGTGGTGGTGGTGGGGGTCGGCAGGGTGCTCGGCTCTGTTGACAGGGTGGGGCACCCTGCTTGTATAATGGTATGGGAAACACTTTTAAGGGATAAAAAGTGATCCAAACCAAGCTGGACATATTGAATTCATTTTATTTATAGCACCAGGTCACAGCAGAAGTCGTCTCAGGACACTGGCCAGAAACATTCACATGTAAAAATTATAAGTTAACATGTAAATGGACTGTACTTGTATAGCACCTTTCTATCTGATCAAGATACTTAAAGCTCTTTACACAACAATCTGTGCCTCATTGACCCATTCATACAGCTCTCTACTTGATCTCTACAAAGCTAATTGAACAAATCATTCTAAAGAGAATAATCAGAGCTTTATCACGTTCATACACTGATGGACACACATCAGAGGCTATGAGTGTTTTGCCCAGGGACACTTCGGCATGTGACTGCTGGTGGATTCGAACCCCCAACTCTTGCATTGGAGGACGACTGCTCTAACCACTCAGCCACAGCCGCCGTGTGGAATGTGGAAAAAGTAATTGCCCCTAAAGTAAATAATGATGCTTGATGGCAACAACTGCAGTGAAGAGTTTGCAGTAAGTTTAATAATAATAATGTGTATGAGTTGTCCATACATGACATGACATTGGCTCTGCATTTAACCTATCGCACCTGAGATACACCCAGGTGGAGCAGTGGGCAGCTATTGAAAGTACCCGGGGCGTAATTGGTGATGAGGTGTGCTGCTCAGAGACACCATGCGATGTGCAATGACTGGGGATCAAACCTGGGACTTTCAGATCCAGAGTCGGCTGCCCTGCCTCTACCCCATCGTCCTGCTGCACAACCCAACGGTTCTTCAGCTGAAAGTCTCAAACTAAAGTCTCCTTCAAGGTTTCCTGGTGTAGAGCTGAATTCATGGTTCCATCAATGACAGCAAGTCATTCAGGTCCTCAAGCAGCCCCAGACCATCACACTACCACCACCATGGCTGACTGCTGGGATGAGCTTATTTTTCTGAAATACGGTCGTAGTTTTACTCCAGAAGTAATGGGAAGCACATCTTACAGAAAATCACGAGTGTCCGCAGAATATTCCCCAAAGTCTCTGGGTTCATTAGGATGTTTCTATTTTATTTTATTTACTTTTTGGTAAATGTGAAGTGAACCTTTGTGTATTTTTTTTGCTCAGCAATAATTCTGACTTTGTTGCCACGGTGGTCATTTTTGCCCATTAGTCCCGTACCCGAGGCAGTGAGACCTGCAGGTCTTTAGAAGTTCTGGGATCATCTGAGACCTCCAGGATGAGTTGTACTCGGAGTCGTTTTGATCAGCCGGCCACTCCTGGGACGTTCACGTCTGTTCCTTGTTTTCTAGTTTTGGGGATTCTGACTCGATTGAAGTGATTTCTTGGTTCTGCAGGACTGACAGTGATCAGACCTGTGTGGGCTGAGGAAACTGAACTCAGCCTGTCAAGAAAATCACAGTTAATATCCTTAATAAAAGAAATCATCATTTAAAAACAGCATTTTTTTATGTACTCAGGTTGTCTTTGTTTACCAGATATATCTCTATTTCGTTTCATACACTATTTTACAATTCTAGCTTAAAACACATATATGTAGTTTTTCTGTTGGGCTGTTCATTTGGAGAAGATTTCATAATCAAAAGTTATCAAGTTTTATTTTATTGTTCAGTTAAATATAATTTTTATTTGTCTAATTTTGATCTTCCAATTTAAAATAGATGTGTTATTTATTATAAAGGTAGGAAACATAAATAAATCCACTGTCTTCCTTCAGAAGTGTAAGATCTCACTTTGTTTTCTCAGCTCTACCTGACTGGTGCTGTGTACAGCCTGGATGGATCGGACAGTCTAAAAGAAACAATGCAGACCAGCATTGTTGCTGGTGACCAGGTACGTATCTCATGCAGTTCATGCATATGCATACCTGCGTGCACGCACACACACACATACACATATGTCGTTCCTTGCTCTATTGCGGTTCAGTTCTTGCAGCTTCACTGCACTGTGGATTTCTTTTTGAATATATTACATATGCATTGGTTGTTTGTAGTTGCTTTTTTTCTTTGTGGGGGGAGGAAGCTGAGGTGGGGTACAGGCTGGGCAACCGACTTGGGACCAGAAAGTCGCGGTTCAACTCCCTGCCATGTCCACATGTCGTGGTGTCCCTGAGCAAGACACCTAATCCCTAATTGCTCCCTGCGCGCTTACATAGCTGCCCACTCTCCACCTGGGTGCATCTCAGGTGTGATGGTTAAATTCAGAGAACTTAATTTCATCATCGTATAGAAACATACAATGATGACAACACATAGCACTTTCTTACTTTTTCTTATTTTTACCTTTGTTAGTTTTATTTCAGTGACTTGTGGGGTGGTTTTTAACTAAACACATGAGAACTTGTCCAACTTGCAAACTTTATATTGTAACATACTGAGGACTCATTAACCAGATTTTCCCAGCATGCCTTGCACTGTGTGTTTGTAAATGGTAAATAAACTGTACTTATATAGCGGCTTTCTATCTTCTCAAGACACTCAAAGCGGTTTACACTACAATCTGTGTCCTCATTTACCCATCCATACAGCTCTCTACTAGATCTCTACAAATCTAATTGAACAACTCATTCTAAAGAGACTAATCAGTGCTTTAGATCACATTCATACACTGATGGGACACACATCGGAGGCTATGAGGGGTTCAGTGTCTTACCCAGGGACACTTCAGCATGTGACTGCTGGTGGAATCAAACCCCCAACTCAGCTGCCCTTGTGTTTCTCTTGTTTTATTGGTTTAGGCGTATACTGTACTGCATAGTTCAATTACTTTTTTTTAGTTATGATTGTTAGTGGTAGTTACCATATGAATAATGTTGTTGAACCTAGAGGGAGAATGTTTTTCACCTCCCTGTTAAAGCACGTTATTGTGTGAATGTTTATGAAGCACATTACACATGAATTCACTGTTCTGATCCATTTTTCTCCCGTATGTTAGCCACTAGGGAGCACAAGCCAGTGTATCTCTTGTGCTGGTCCCAAGCCTGGGTAAATGGTGAGGGTTGTGTCAGGAATGGCATCCGATGTAAAACACTTTTGCCAAAACCATAATGCGAGTTTATCAAAGTGAAACCATACTGGATCGGTCGAGGCCCGGGTTAACGATGACCGCCACCGGTGCTGTTGACAAACAGAGTGCCGGCGGAAATTGTGCTACTGTTAGTCGAAGACCACGAGGAGGGAAACGTGTCAGGAGACAGAGAGAGAAGAGGAAAGTGAAGAATGTAGGACTGAGGGTTGCAACTCTAAATGTGGGGACAATGACAGGCAAAGGTAGAGAGTTGGCTGATATGATGCTGTTGCGTTATGGGAGCTGAGCAGATCAAATCCATAGGACCAGTCTAAATAAGAAATATCGTAACAATGCAGAGAAGAAAGGTAGATGTTTTATGTGTCCCAAGAGACCAAGTGGAAGGACAGCAAGGCTCACAGTATTGGAGCAGGGTTCAAACTGTTTTACCATGGTGTGAATAGAAAGCGAAATGGAGTAGGGGTGGTCCTGAAGAAGGAGTTGGCAAAAAATGTAGTAGAGGTGAAGAGAGTGTCGGATATTGTGATGTGCCTGAAGGTAGAAGTAGAAGGTCTGATGCTAAATGTTGTCAGTGGTTATGCTCCACAGGTTGGATGTGATGAGGAGGAGAAAGATAGATTTTGAAAAGATCTGGATGAAGTGATTGAGAGTATTCCCAGGGAGGAGAGAGTGGTGATCGGAGCAGACCTGAATGGACATGTTGGTGAAGGAAACAGAGGGGATGAGGAAGTGATGGGTAGGTTTGGTGTCGAGGAAAGAAACAAGGAAGGACAGATGGTGGTGGATTTCGCCAAGAGAATGGAAATGGTTATAGTCAATACCTATTTCCAAAAGAGGGAGGAACATAGTGACCTATGAGAGTGGAGGAATGAGTATGCAGGTCGACTACATTCTGTGTAGAAGAGGAAACCTGAGGGAGATTGAGGACTGTAAGGTTGTGGCAGGAGAGAGCGTGGCCAGACAGCATCGGTTGGTTGTGTGTAGAATGACTGTTGTTGTGAAGAAGAGAAAAAGTGTAAAATCAGAGAAGAAGACCAAATGGTGGAAGCTGAAGAAGGAAGAATGTTGTAAGAAATCTAGACAGGAGCTGTTAAATGCTATGGGTGGTAAGAAAGAGCTTCCAAGTGACTGGGCTACTACAGCAACAGTAATTAGAGAGACAGGTAGGAAGGTACTTGGTGTGTAATCTGGACAGAGAATGGATGATAAGGAAACCTGGTAGTGGAACAGTGAAGTGCAGGACGCCGTTCAAAGAAAGAGATTAGCCAAGAAGAAATATGACAGTGAGAGGACTGAAGAGAGGAGACAGGAATATAAGGAGATTGGATGTAGAGCAAAGAGGGAAGTAGCTAAGGCAAAGCAGAGGACGTACGATGAGTTGTATGAGAGACTGGACACTAAAGAGGGTGAGAAGGACTTGTACCGATTGGCAAGACAGAAGGATCAGGCTGGATAGTATGTGCAGCAGGTTAGGCTTATTAAAGATAGGAATGGCAATGTTCTAACAAGTGAGGAGAGTGTGACGGGAAGATGGAAGGAGTACTTTTAGGAGCTAATGAATGAAGAGAATGAAAGAGAAAGAAGAGTACAGGTCATAGAAACTGTGGACCAGGAAGTGGGAAAGATTAGTGAGTGTGAAGTCCGGAAAGCTCTGAAAAAAAATAAAGAAGGGGAAGGCAGTAGGACCTGATGGCATACCAGTGGAGGTTTGGAAATATCGTGGAGAGATGGCAGTGAGGTTTTTGACTCAAATATTCAATGGCATATTTGAGGGTGAGAAAATGCCTCAGAAATGGCGAAGAAGTGCGCTGGTGCCCATTTTTAAGAACAAGGGTGATGTACAGAGTTGTAGCAACTAGAGGGGAATTAAGTTGATGAGTCACACAATGAAGATCTGGGAGAGAGTTGTGGAAGCAAGTCTTAGATGAGAGGTGACCATCTGTGAGCAGCAGTATGGTTTCATGCCAAGAAAGAGCACCACAGATGCCATCTTTGCTTTGAGAATGCTGCTGGAGAAGTACAGAGAGGGTCAGAAAGAACTCCATTGTGTCTTTGTGGATTTAGAAAAAGCATCTGACAGGATGCTGAGAGAGGAGGTGTGGTATTGTATGAGGAAATCTGGAGTAGCAGAGAAGTATATTAGACTGGTACAGGACATGTATGAGGACAGCAGGACAGTGGTTAGATGTTCTGTAGGGGTGACAGATAGTTTCATGGTGGAGGTGGGAGTGCATCAAGGATCAGCTCTGAGCCCCTTCTTGTTTGCTCTGGTGATGGATCGACTAACATGAGGTCAGGCAAGAATCCCCATGGACGATGATGTTTGCAGATGAAATTGTGATCTGTGGTGAGAACAGGGAACAGGTGGAAGAGAACTTGGAGAGGTGGAGGTATGCACTTGAAAGAAGAGGAATGAAAGTCAGCTGTAGTAAGACAGAGTACATGTGTGTGAATGAGAGGGAGGCCGGTGAAACAGTGAGGCTACAAGGAGCAGAGGTCACAAAGGTGCAGGACTTCAAGTACTTGGGGTCCACTGTCCAGGAAAATGGGGAGTTGGGTAAAGAAGTGAAAAAGAGAGTCCATGCAGGATGGAGTGGATGGAGAAAAGTTTCAGGAGTGATTTGTGACAAAAGGGTGTCAGCAAATGTCAAAGGAAAAAATTACAAGACAGTGGTGAGACCAGCTATGTTGTATGGTCTGGAGACAATGGCATTGACAAAAAGACAGGAGAAAGAACTGTAAGTGACAGAAATCAAGAAGTTGAGGTTCTCCTTAGGAGTGACAAGGATGGATAAGATTATGAATGAGATCATCAGAGGTTCAGCACAGGTTGAACAACTGGGAGATAAAGTTAGGGAGGCCAGACTGAGATGGTTTGGACATGTCAAGAGGAGGGACCGTGGGTATATTGGTAAAAAGATGTTAGAAATGCAGCTGCCAGGAAAAAGACAAAGAAGAAGGCCAAAGAGGAGATATATGG